CAAGTCGTAAATATACTAATAATTAGAATATCAGTTTATTTATATTACTAAGTTATGTACTTGACAATGCATTTTCTTATTAAATTTACATTAGTCCTGTACTTGTAATTATATTCTAATATAAATATATTTGTATATATTATATTTTGTTGAAACTAATTAACAATTATGTTACATTTTTAGCATTGGTTACATAGAAAAAAGCTAATTTTATCCATTCAATTTGAAAAAGATCCAAATAAATTATTTGACGAAGATAAATATTTAGCCAAAGCAAGGTATTTAAATACATCTTGGGTACTACAATGGTTAGATGACATAGGTCTTCCTCAGTATAAAGAACCATTTTCTCAGGCAGCTATAAATGGTACCCTTTTACACAGACTCACCAAAGATGATTTTCTAATGATGCAATTCGGAAATTCAGATTTACATTTCTCTAGTCTCCGATATGGAATTAAAGTAAATTTAAATATTATTTTAAAACTTGCAATGATGTATGATTAATAAATATTAGATATAATATGTTGTGTAAAGGTGTTGAGGAAGAATAATTTTGATCCTGAATGTCTAATTCGTCGTTCTAATACTAACAAAAATGATGATGATTGTAATTTATCACTATGGACAACACATAGAGTAATGGAATGGCTTTGTAGTGTCAATTTGGCTGAATATGCATCTAATTTAAGGGGCTCTGGTGAATATTTTATACATTATTTTTATTTTTATTAACAAGATAATAATTAATTTTATATAAAAATTAAATCTATCAGTATGTTAAAAACACTGATTAATAAATATTTTGTTTTTAATTCAAATGAATATTAATATTATATTAATATGAATTTTCACTGTAAAAACTTGATTCATTTTATAAATACTCAAATATTTTTTGAACATTATTATAAGATGAGTATTCATTTATTTGTTATAATTTAGGTGTTCACGGTGGATTAATAGTGTATGATGACAGATTTACTTCTGAGCTTCTAGCTGACATTTTATTCATACAACAGAGCAAAACATTACTAAGACGTCATTTAAGCATACAGTTCAGTCAGTTAATTGGAAAAGATTTAAATCAAACAAAAAGAGATTATCAGTKCAAACCAAAATATAGACCTTTAACAATATCATCTAAGACTAAAGTAAGTGATATTTAATAATGATTTTAAAAAATCATGTCATATTTTTACAATAAACTTTACATTTCATTATAATTATTAGAAAACTACATAAAATATATTTGTTATGATTTAGATTCAGAAAAAATCACAATTTTCATTAAAGAGGAAAAAACATAACAATGAACTGAGTATTGGTGATCTGATTTGTCCTATTGACGATTAAAATTAGAAGTTTTATTTTTACGTAGTTAAACCAAAGTTAAAATACATTTAGTACATGACAAAAAAAAGACTTATCGCTTATTATATTTTATGGATGTATTTAAATTAATGATAATTGTGTTTGTTAAAAAGTATAACAATAATTAACAATTTCCTGACCAAAAATTAATTATATTTTATAAGTTAAAGATTTTTGTAMTAAAAATATTTAATGTTAATACATTATATAAACACTATGTTATAGTTGAATAAATTTGTATTTAATAAGTAACATAAATGTAAGACTACTTAATGTTTTTAAACAATTTCCTTGACACCCTTTAGCTAGAATCTACTTATAAAGTTATAACTGCAATATGGTACACCAAATTCAATATTAATCAATTTGGAAACTAACATAAATAAAGGTAAATTATTCAAATGCTTTATTATTCCAATAAGGTGTCTTTCTAAATTGGTCAAATAGTTAATTGGTATCAGATACATAACCTGATTTCATTATATATTTTTTATTATTAGAAATAAGCCTCAGCAGCAGAGGCCATTGGCTGACATAGTTTACATTGTTTAGGAAGAATTATTATATACATTATTTACGTACACATATTACAACATAATAAATTATCAGCTAATTTCATTATATTTTCAAA